CTGCTCCTGAGCAGCCTTACCCTTTCTAGTCCTCTTGGAACACGGATGCGGGGCCGCAGCACTCCCTGCCGAATCAGGTGTTGTCACCCTTTTTCTCCCAGGCTTCGAAGGCGGTTCAGGCGCAGGCTGATTCCCAGGCTGACTCTTTGCACTTTTGGGAGCAACATGTACAGGTTCCGGGACCTGGGCACTTTTACCACGCCCTCTCCCTCGGCCACGCCCTTTCCCTCGACCTTTACCTTTTCCCCTTCCCTTCTTGGCGGGAACATGCTCCCTGGCTGCCTCATCCTCGAGCTCTGGACCATCTTCTGGGGCCTTGAGAGCACTTCGAATCTTCTGCTGCGCCTCCCAAGAGGAAAATCTAATCAGGTATATAGCAGCTGGCTTCTTGAAGAAGCTTAATTAAGGGAAGACTCCGATGCACATGCACTGATCACTCCATATATATGTTCAACACCTTTCGATCTATATCAAACTCACAAGTATGCAACGCAATGTTGCACATGTAACATGGGGGCCTTCAGAATTGTCTCCTTTGTATCTTTAGGTTCTGCTTGCAGTGCCTGTACTGCTGCCTCCAACGTGGCCTCGGCCTCTGGAGGGATGACAGCTGGTGCCGTTACCAGTGGCCTCCTGTCCTGTGCAAAGGCCAGCAATGGACAGCTCCACACACACACACATACATGTATGTGTATACAAATATATATGCTCGATTGCTTCAGCGCGACTCACCACTCAAGTAGCTAGTGTTTTAAAAAAATCGCTGGCCTGAAAAGTGCCCTTCACAACCTTCCTCTTCTGACCTGTTGCCGTTCTTGTCTCTACCTCCTCATCGCTCGCCTCTGCGCCTTCATCACCATGTACAGGTGGGTCTTCAACATGAGCATCAGTAAACATAGGCTGGGTCTCAATCGTGCTCGGATCCACCAAGTTTTCCTGCAGCAGGGCAGCCATACATGTAATAAAACATGCGCTAGCCTTTTGCCAAGACATGTGCAGCTAGACACAGTATATACAGGTTACCAAGACACCTAGTTTGAAGTTTTCAACCGAGCTTGCTCATGCATATTAGTCAACATACCACACTGGCCAGCATTGTCCTGAAAGGCGCCGGCTTTTGTCTTGGACCTTCGAGGCTTGGTCTCTGAATTTGTGACTGGATCCTTTGGAAGGACTTCTCCAAGAAGAGGCGATTTGGCCTCACACAGCTCAAAGTGACGCCCTCGTCGGAATCGAGTCCACCCTTGATGCCTTCTGGCTGCTAGCTTTTGAAGTTCTTTGACAAATTGAGCCTTTGGTTTGCCCGGTCTCAGGAAATGTCGAATCCGTGCAACCTTGAACCGATTCCACCCTGGCCACCGCTTGAGCTTTTGTTGTAGGCTGACTGGCGGGTCAAGTCCAAACCTGTGATACAAACCAATGTCAACATCATCCGGAGGCCCTTCAACACCAGCCTTCTCCTCCGGATCTTCTCCCTTGACATCAGCCTCTTGCGGTGTGAAGCACTCTTCGGCAATCTGCTCTGCGTCCTGCTCTATCTCCTGTGCGTCCTGCTCTTCAACATCATCATGTGCGTCCTGCTCTCCATTCTCCTCTATCTCTTCCTGGTCCTCATGCTCTGCAACCACCTGCGCATCACCTTCACCATCCTCCTCTACTTCCATTGCATCCTCCTGCTCTTCCTGCGCTATCTCCTCACCAGGCTTTATGCGGAAGGTACATACATATATATATATATATACACAGAAATTCAATTTATCTAATTAGTTGTACATGTTGTGATGCTGTATTGTGGGGGTTCACTTGTAAAACAATTCAAAAACTCCGCTCCTCAACTTGTTCTTGCTCTTCGACTTCCTCCTGCTCCATGTAACCCTCTTCTGCCTCCACAGTCTCCTCTGCAACCTCTGCATCCTCACCACCTTCAATCTCTGCCATCTCGCCTTCCACCTCACATTCTATCTCTGGATCACACTCGGCCTCCTCCTCCTCAGGATCTTCTCCATCCATGTCTGCATCCTCAGCCGCTGGAACAGCCTCCTCCACCTGCTCCTCCGGGTGTAGGACTTCTGCAGGTTGAGGGCCCTGACCATGTACAAGGCATCAACAATATTGCTATTGCATTTTTGACCACATGTATGTTTCGAAACACGTAAAGTGCTCAAAGTATGGGCGTCCATGCATTATTCAAAGTTTAAACATGAATTTAGGCATCAGTGTACATACACTATATATACACACATCCCACATGTTGAAGAAACAGATAATATAAATCAATCTTGGAATGCAGATTTCAAGCTTGTCTATAAGTTAATGCGTAAACTGCTTCAGATTCTGCCCAGACTTTTTGAGAGTTCAACCCATACCCTGCCTCACTGCCCAAGCTTGAGTTGCTGCCACCTCAAAGCGTGTTCTGCACAGGACTGGATGGAAGCAGCATTGAAATTCAGGCTGGGGGCTGGGATGCGATCAAAGCCATACACGCAGCATAAAATTCAAAACAAATTTAAACTTATATCTAGTATAAATATGCAGGGAAACACTGCACGTTTGCTCCATTGACGGATCGATGTATTTTCCTCATTTGCTAAGTTGCGGGCCCTTAACATAGGGCCCCGAAACTGATCTGATGGTGTCCTTGAGATGCGAGATCTCTGAGCAGAAAGGTCCAGGCCTAGCGTGACCAAATTTGATGAAGGTGTCAAGAGCATACTGTGCATTCTGGTCATGATTTGATACATGAACACACAATCCACATTCCCTAGCACATGCGCAGCTAAATTGGTTGCGAGCGCAGATTTGTAGATCTAGAGCACTAGTCACTAGCAAGTCTTGCAGTGGTGCTTGAGGCCCCCAACTTTGTGTTCAGCGACCTCCTTTCCAATGTCTTGAACTCGGCGATCAAGTTTCGGAACTCCATCGCACATTCGCACGACTCCCCCTGGCATAGATTTCAACATAAATTTGTAAATCATATATGCCTGGCGTGGGATACATGGCCATATACATTAAAGCAAATATCTAGCGGAGCACAATCAATAGCCGGCGCCTTTTTGTCCTTGATCTTCTTGGCCATTAGAAATTTCAACTTGTCGTCGGCTTCCATGATTGCTGCCTCAAGCAGAAGAAGGCTCCTAGAGTTATATAACTGTATACGTACAGGTACCGTGTCAAAGGATCGACCCAATTATCTAATTTGGGTTCTCTTGCATGCGCAGGCTTGCCTCTTTTTAACGCTATAGATCTCTTTGTTCATGCCCTGTAAATGCATGCACATGGACCCATACCTCTCCAAAAAACAACTTGCCTCCAGTTCTTTTGACGTCGGCCCCTTTCTCCCGAACTTGCCGAAGAAGTTGATCAGGCTCTCGTAATTGGCGTGAACCTGCGGAAGATACTGCGCAGCTTGGCCGGATATCGATGGATGCAGAGAGTAGTGTAAACTTTGTGGAGGCCTGATGCTCCAGCTTCAGATCATAGCACTCATTCAGCAAAGAGAAGATCGGAGGGTCCTCCCAAAAATGCTCTTTGAATTCAATAATGTCGCCTTTAAATCAAATTTGGATATATATCGATTGCGAAAGCATGCATGCATTGTACATGCATTACGGGTTCTGTACAACACCCACTATAGGCCTGATCTTTTTTCATGGCTGCCTTTTGCTTCAGCTTGAGTTCACCCAAGACATTCTTATCGATGCGACCAGTCTCGAGCATCCACTCCTGGCCCGGGTCGAACAAAGTCTAGGTGCTCCCCAGATTTCCCAGATCACCCAAAAAGGAACTCGACCGTTCAAAGTGGGTACATGTGTACATCAACATGTGGTTACTCGAAAGCACGCCAGATGTACGTAAACAAGTTTGCACTTCTCAAGGCTGCATTGCCGCTCTGCATACTTAAAAGTCGAAGGGACTTCCATGGCCCCCAGCCGAAAGCAATCTAGCCAACCCTTTGACCCGATACGCGGCTTTTCAAACAGCTGGCACTTCAATTATAAGTTTGTGCATGCTGCAATTGTTCTGATCGATATGTGTTGAAAGTAAATGGGGCTCTGTCTGCGAGTTCCCAAGGCTGGCGCTTTGATGACACGCGATCTGACCTGGGAGATGCGAAAAAAGGTCTTGCCGGGCAGTTGAGGTTGCGAGTCCAGATGCATTCTAAGGAGTGGGCGGCGTCTCTTCCACTGGGCTCGGTACATGGCTTGGGGATCTCATCACTGCAGCCCCATCATGGTCTCAAAGAAAATACGTGTACAGTTTAAGAAATGATCTCAAGATCCTGGCCAATATGCAGTAAAAACGTGAGGAGTACCAAATGTGTTGAAGAAAGATGTTGATTCTGAGTCAGTCATGTCTAGAAGATTTGTTTGCATGTCATCAGCCAATGATGGGCTGCAGGGTTGACTGCACAAACTCGATCGACGTCGTTATAAGGCTTCGCCTCCCCCATACAGCATCGTCTCATACGTCGCCGTATAACAGAGACAATCGCACCCCTGGGGATAGTAGTTTCATGTAGTTTCCACTTTGCTGGGGAGCATGAGCATTGACATCAACCCACGGCATTCTTCTTTTTCGGAGGGATTCACTCTCCTATGCTTGGGGGATGTTCAGGTTTCAGGTATCCGTTTGAACGGGGTGGATGCAAAGAACCCACCAGCAACCTTCAACAAGCATCACCTGTCTACAACACCTCTGGATCAGAGCTGCCGCCACACGCTTGACATCTTTGGACTCATGCTTACATGGTTGTTGCATGTTTGTGTGGAAGCCAACAGTTTGGAAGTCAACAAGGCATGAGTGTCAGAAGCATTCCCCAGGTTCAGAGATTTCAAACCAAAGAAACATGATAAAACTCTTCTCGTAGCCCGTCTGCCAACCCCGATCTTCAATGATGCCAACAAGATCCAAAAAGTCGCCGCTTTCCTTGCCTTTTGTGCCACGTGTATGTTCTCGCCTTCTTTTGGAGATGTTTGGGGGCCTTCCCCAAGAAGCCTCTCCTGGATGAAGACCTTGAGCTTCTCCGCGTCGAAGTCCCCGAAGTCGGGCCTGACGACGTCCGTCAGGTCCGGGCCTCCGGGTGTTTCTTTTGGGACGGGTCCTGGCGCAGCTCCTTTTCCGTTCTCTGCCGAACAACCTCTTCAACATGAATGGACAGCGGATGAAAGCGGAAAGGATGTTTGGATATGTTTGGTGTCTTCCCAACCCAGCCATTCTACAGCGAGTCAGTGCAGCTCTGAAATAACTATGAATGAATGGTAGTCGCATGGGTTCAATGGGCTGAACACCCCACTGTCGTCTGGGCCCGGTGTTGTCGTATAAGTCTTACGAATTCCAGAGCACACGCTTCTCCAGTTCCAGCCAAAAGAAACTGTCAAAAATCAAGCTTCTGCTTCAGGTGATTCTACATGATTCTCCATTCGCAATCGTTTTTCTTTGCTTCAGGCGATTCTTTCGCCGGAAAATGGCCTCCTACTTCCAGATCTCTTCCCCCACCAGAGCAATAGAAACGTGGAGCGCTAAATGTATTGGTTGTGAACTTCAACGCAACATTCCGCAAGTGTGATGGCACCCAAATCCAGCAAACCCAAGCCGATACTCTTAAGATCTCATTGAGGAACCCTTACCCCGGCCGCCTCACACTATTCTTTTGGTTCCTAGAGTTACGGGGAAACTTAACCATCACAACGCCCTAAAGTACAATCCAGTCCCCAAATCTTGGTAACCAAGCTCGACATGCTGAATGAATGTGTATATATAGTCTTATGTCTTGTTGACCATGTTAAAAACAAACTAAGCATATTGCATAAACATATACAAATATATTATATATGTCTATACTATACCAGGACCCTCCAAGGGGTGTCTATGCATAGCCCCTTAGCTGTTAAGGGGGGTCCATTAACCACCCCTTGCGGGTCCTGGTATATATTAAAACAATATATAAATAAATTGCACAAACATGTATACAGAGTCTTTGATCTGCGGACGTCGTGCCAGGATTTCAGCGAAAAGGGAGACATGGCGTCATGCACCCGCCTACTCTTGGGAATGGCTGCCGCTAGGGCGGCAATGTCCACCCAGCCTGGGGAACATGCAGCACAAGTGGATGAACTGTCGAAAGCAGGTGCAATGACCGATCGTTTGAGACCTGTTGATACGACGTTGCAACGACTCTTCTGGGCTTGCAAATTAGCGGGAGGGAGGCCACCGCAAAAATGGTGACACACTTCTGAGCAGATCTGAAGCCGAATCTTCCAGCCCTTCCAGAATCTTCCAACCCCTTCGTTCCATCACGTGGTCCGCATGAAGTTTATGGTGTCATAAACATTTTCCCTTGCATAAAATGGATTCACCTGCTCCGCCGGCTGGACTTCCCCCCATTTTTGAACTTGCAGTCAGAAGCATTCAAACAGATTATCCCCTGTCGAATTACTGGTGTACTTTGGAACGTGATTTTATAGGGAGAAAACGAACAACCAGGCTCTGAGGGCAGTTGGAAACATGTTCTCTACAGACTTTATAGAATGAGGTGCCTCAGGGTATGGGCGTTCATCATCATCATCATGAAAAAATGATAGCAACAAATTGGAAATCAATGATATTGATTCTATAGCAAAGTGTGGGCAAATATGAAGGTTGAAATTGGTTTTAGAAAAACACAAGGCAAAAGAGACATTTTTAGACAATGCAGGGTTGAAGTTGATTTGGCAGATGCTGGGCAAAAGTTGCCCAAGAGGTTGGTTTTGCTTTTATAAAAACATGTTTGGACAATGCGGGGTTGAAATTGATTTTAGACAAAAAGTTGAACATAAGTGGCCAAAGAGATTGGTCTTGATTTTATTGAGACATGTTTGGATACAAATGTTGGCCGATGTGTAAAGAAGTTAATTTTATAGAGGGGTGATTTATCAAATGTTAGGACCTCTATAAAATCTGGTGACATGGCGTGCCCTGTGTATAGAATGAAATGTCGGCACCCATTTTGCGAGAACAAACTGACTATTTTGGACCCCATGTTTAAAATGCGTTTTCCTTCAGGTAGGTTGATATGTTCATTCTATTTACAGTAAAACCCTGTCTTTTGAGCTCAAGCTCTCAGATTCTATAGAGTTTATTCGGTGGGAAACGTGCTTTGGTAAATGGCAGAGATCCGGAATCCAGACTCTACGATGGATGTATGTTATATGTGTGGACTCTTGATTAATAACCCCCCAAGTTCAAATCCAAATGGCCTGTTTCTCAATCAACATTCCACACTATAAATGATTCATCCTCTGTTAACCAGTCTGACTGTTGGACAAAGTGGCGGCTGGGAGGGCAGTGGGCATCCTGACGTTCTTTCAGAACAACCTGCCCACACCCAGTGCGGTCATGTCCCTCAGGCTCGTACCCCCTTCGGCCAGCATGATGCCCAGTTCCTGTCACACGCGGCAACATCCCCCCAGTTCCAGGTGCGAGGTGCGCTGGAGTGTTCTGTTCGGGTCGTCCATGTGACACGTTGAGGCTACACGAGTTTGGAATTCTCTTTGAACCAAAAAGTGTGTCAAACACATTGTGTTTCAAATCGTGATGTGTGCAGGTGCCAAACTACGAAGCGAGCACAAGTGCCCCACCGAAGCAGTTGAGAGATCGTGAGTCAAAGCGAGCCCAGTGCTGGTTGGTTCTGTGATGTTCTTTGAAGGGCACCCAGATCTGCACATGTTCTACTGCAGATCTCGGCATGGAGGTCTTTCGCGCCTTGTGGACGAGGTCAGTTGCGCAGACCAGTGAGTTGAAAGCCATCCCCGCCCAAATCACACCGCTATAGGCATTTTTTTGGCCAACAAAGAAAGGACGAGCTGATCAAGGAGGTACAATCCATCTCGAATTGGCACATGTTCTCCAACTCATCCAGCGTCGATCAATGTTTCGGTACCTCGCTGTTTGGGCTGTTTGGGTTTCCCATCCAGCCTGGTATCCAGCTTGAACCACCCAGCTCACCCAACGTTGCACCTTCTCCTGTGGACCTCGGCGGCACGACCGCGCCGTGCGCGTGAGAGGTCTGGTTCTGGTCTCTGTCTGCCCAGCATGGCTGGAAAATGGACACCCCCCACAAGAAACCAAATGCTCCAACTACCTACCTTCTGTCTAAGGTCTTTGGTGGGGTGGCTTTGGAGGCTTCTTGGATGTTCTTTGGGCAAATCAATGCTCATCCACTCCAGGGAGTTGCGCAACGGTAGCTACTTGTATGATGGGGACAAAACACATGAGAAAAGTATAAAAAAGTGTCCTGCTCGAATTGATCCGCGAGAATGAACAACATGGACACACCCCAAGGGATGTCAACGTTACAGTGCTTACAGTGCCTGTAGCATGGTTGAGTGGGTCTTCGAAGTTGATGCTTCAACGGATGTGTCATCATGGCAATCAGCTTAAACATATACATCGGGGAAAAAAAACGCCAGGCTGTGTGACCCTGATCAAAGCCACGACCAAAAGCAAATCACATGTACCCCGCCAGCATTTTCCAATTTCAGCATGTGTATATGAGCAAGTGTCTCCTCGTATTTTTCGGACGGTGTTGATTCCCAAACAGATCCAAACATTACATATGTGCCGCACAAGAAAAGAAGCCGAACGAGATCGAAAGAGCAAACTGCACGACTCTGCCCGCTGTCGTCGCGTCCCTTCGAGCGGCTCCAGCGTCGACGATGGTTACGGCCCTGAGAGGGCGAAGGTAGAAGAAGGGACGAGCCAGGGACGGGCCAGTGGTCCAGGTGGGGGGAAGAAGAACTGGCTCCAACATTGGATGCAGCTGATGGGTTTGGGACGTGTTTTGATATTTTTGGATATGTTGTTTGATTTGTTGGGAGGTTTTGGCAGAAGGTCCCTGTGTCACGGCTTGTCACTGCCCTCAAGCAGCTCAAAAGCACACCCTGACAATGGCAAAGGTCCCGCGCACAGAAGCGGAAGTTCACTTAACCCGCACTGTGCGCGGTGCTTCTTGGATGTTTTGAACTTCTTCAATTTTCGGAGCTGCTGATGTCATTCCCCATGCAGCTAATAAGTCCCTTATATAAACAGCATCACTAAATTGCAGAGGTTTCAGAGGTTCGATGGCACAATTCCCAAGGTACTAGTGGACCCTCATCTGTCTAAAACATCTTAGCATCTGGGAACCTGCAGCAGTCGCAATTCCTGAGTTGACACGAGTTCGACACCGCCGTGCCCGGCTTTGGTGGCTCAGCCGGCACCAACTTCCCATATGGAGGCTTCTGGGGGTTGTCTTACATCAACCGTCTTACATAGCGTGCCCAAGTCCGCGCTTCTTCGCGTGCCAATTCCGATCAGCACCAAGGTCCAGGCTTCACCACGCCGGCCTGGAGGCATGCTGGGTCAGTTGGGTCGTCACCGACCCGGAGCCCTGGAGCCCTCATACAGTGAGGTAGGTCAAACACCAGATACGTCAACCGGTCGGTCAACTGGGAGAGAGTCAGCCATGGTTCAATCTCTGGCACCACCTTCCCGGCGCTTGGGGCTTTTGCTGGGCCTTCCCTGGGCTCCAGCGGATTGGGTCAACCATCCTCCGATTAGACGTTCCCTGTAGGAGAATCAGAGTGTGCCTTAGGGCGGTTCTTCTACTTCTTGGACCTCGAAACACTGGGAAATACCAGGAGCCAGGATCCAGTTAAGACTATTCATCCTGGGGTGAGGGCCGCGCCGCAAGGGCGGACAACTCATGGGCCCTCATGATGTCCCATGTATCAAGGATGTTTGCTGTTCATCTCTGGAAGAGATGGAGAAGCTCACGTCACCAACGAGTTTAGTATATATACAGAATATTGATGAGTAAGACTTTCTATATTCCCGGACGCTCCATGTATGCCATATATGCTTACATTGGGGTGGTTTTGGGGGTCAATGTAGGCATATGTGGCATACATGGAGTGTCTGGGATTGAAAGAGTCATCAGGAGTCCACAATACTCCACCTAACCGTTCTGGCGCGCTCCCCATGTCCGTCTGGCCTCCCTTTGGAAAGAAATCCGTGTCTTGCGGTGCGCGGCGCAAGTGCCTCGGCTCAATTCGACTCAGCAAACTCACATTCAAGCGGCGTGTCGTTCGCAGCGCATAGATTGCTTAGATCTGCAACTTGCACTCGTGAATAGTGGTCTGGTCAACAATGACTTAGAACATCACCTGGGCTTGCTGGATGTGCACAAAGCATAACCGCAAATAAGACAGACATTCTCCGTGACGACAGTCGGGCCATCACACGGCAGTAGTTACAAAAACTAATCTCCGAGGGGAAATATAACATACACTTACACCGTCTATGCTCCATGACAGGATCGAATCATTCCTCTGCCCAAACAAATGCCTCTGCCATGCCTGATTCCCCTCTCCTCGCATCAACACACACATATACAACATATTAGGCTTTGTTTGGGGCCGATGCTTGATGATGCTTCATGCCTTGTATGTCTCATCTCTCTTGTCAGAGTTCGACCATCAAAAGGCCAAGTTATTTTGGACGATTTGGCATTCGCAATTGGTAACCAAAGAGCCAAAGAATTGAGATATCGCCCGCATTCGCCCATCACTTTGCCCATCTGAGCCCTGCGAGTCATCGGAAAATGAAACAAACAGTCCTCCGATTTCAGAAACGTCCGTCAGCAGTCACAAGGGGAGCCCAGGCTTCTTGTTGAAGCGCCTTCCACACGTTCAGCAACCCCCAAGAAATGTTGTCACCACTGAGACACAACAGTATAGTCCCTTAGGTCAGCAAGACCCATGTTACTGGGTGCCGGAAAGTGCCAACATTGAGAGGTGCCAAAGAATCCATTCTCAAAGGATAATCACTGCCATGACATGTGTTGTTCACAAGGTATCGCTTCACTGATTTCAGTGGTTTAACATGAGAAGTGCTCTATGAACAACCTCCAAGTGGGATTCTAAGACATTGGTGGGATTTCCATCTGCTGTGAGGACAATCCCCAGCTTGAGCTCCAGGGCGCATGGTGTCAGGATGCAAACCCATCTGCCGCACCTTGTTCAAGACCTGCAGTGCGCCCGTGAGAGGGTTCACGGCCACCCAGGTGTCGAGCATCCTGACCGGTCCTTCCCTGACTTCATTTTTTGGAAAGACACCACCTTTCTCCACCAAGTCTTGCTTAGTGGGACACCAAAATCACCAAAACCAACAGTCTTCCCTACCAAAAGATTGAAAAGGCCTTTGGCAGGTGGCTTCCTGTCTCTTCCATCCGCCTGCTCGCGCTTCCGGCTAAAAGGATTCACCTCAGCCGAGCGGGTTTTCAGGAGAGGAGGGGGGAGGAGCAAGGCAACGTCGCTAGGGAGTAGAATGGTATATAATGGTATAGACCTCTCGAGTCAAAGGGTTAGACTATAGACACTGCATTGCATCAAAAATGATACAATCAAGGATATTATACGAGTTAATTAAGTAAACCACAATGTTCATTTGAAACAAGATGGTGTGGAGCTAGATCATTCAAATTCAGCTTCGGAAAGTACTGCGGAGAATCCACAAGGAAATACTATGAAATACTGTAATATTAGCGCAAGATCACCTAAAATTGTCATGGAAAGGGAACATCTCGGACACACACATACAGAACAACATGCTGTCCCGTTTGCACACGAAACACGCCCCCAACGAAACACGTTCATGCGTGCAAATAGATGCAAATAGATGATGTGTGTATGAAACTGCCTGAACATAACGCCAAAAACACTGCCAAAGGTGGGACCTGTGCTAGGCCAAGAAACCACGGCCTTGAACAGTACAGGAACCATCAGGAACCTGCCTGTAGAAGGCTTTTCTGCAAGACACTCAGGCCAGCACTCGGTCATCTGCCTGGCGCCGCTGGCCAAAACACCCGTCGACAACAGCGCTGGGTCCGCGCGTCGTCCGAGTTGAATAGACCAAAGCATACATCACGACCGGTCCAAGCACAGGCATGCACTTGTGGAAACCAACATACGGTCAGAATGTTCCAAGTCTAAGTCCAAGTGCCCTGCAAATTCATGCATCACGTGATCTTGCAAGAATGCTTGCCCCAAACACACTACCAACAAGTCGTCTGGAAGGCATGAGAGCTATTTCTGATGCCAATTGGACTGTACCAAAGTGGTCGTGCATTGGACGAATCCAAAGCAAACAGACTTGACAATCCCTAGGGCTGTGGTGCCTTCTAAGAAGGTGGGACTGAGGGTGTGGAGGGTCCAGGCATACCTTCCGAGGAGGTACGACTTGTTCGCCCTAGGGAATAGCATATGAAGCCTCATGATCAAACATCGTCATCCCTTGCGACTATTTCAATGCCAAATGCTTTACAACGCCGTTCCCAAGAAGTCATCCCCCGGAGTTCATCCCAACGGAGCGCTGATACCCAAACAGGATGCTTATTTTTCACCAAAGAAGTAGACCCAAAGAGTGCAACAACCAATGGAACCCTGGTTCTGAAAACAGTGTGTTGGTGCTTCTTGCATTCAGCTAGTGGTTGGCATATGGTGCTGACTAAGACAAAACAGACCTGACATCAACCCCTCTATGGGTTGCCAGAATACAGTATACAACCTAAAATTAGGCCCAGGCCCCTTTCCAACGCACAGAGTTGGCTTGCGTTTGGGAAAAAAGAGAGACGACTTTCCGCAAAGCCTGAGGGTAGCAATACCTTTAAAAAGTGATGACATTGTCTTATGCCTGTAAAACCTCTTCTACCTCCCGCGCTCGCGAAATCTCGGAAACGAGCGATGCCATCAGCTTCCACTGAGTGGCAAAGAGTCTGGACACAAGCACCCGCCCCACGGGTGAAGAACGAAAAGGCACCCGCCCCACGGGTGATCAAAAAGGACATCGCCCAAGAAAGAAAGGAAAGAATGGGAAAATCCCACGTCGTAAGAGTTTGGCCTGAGATCCTTCGGGTAATCACGACCAACTGTTCGAGCTCTTGGTTGGAAAAATACGGTGCCGCTCCTCGGATTACCCCGGATGGCATTGTTTTACCCCATGCGTGATGTTCCCTTGGGATATGTCTCCCTGGATGCAGCGCAAAGGTCAGTCGGCGCCGGCAAAAGGACAAACGTGCCTGTAAAACCTCTTCATGTGGGTGACGGTGTGTGTGTTCAATCCAAGCAGTCTAAACATCTTCAATAAGCATGGACAGCCAGGAGAAAAAACCATCCCAATACCTCCATCATCCTCCATCCTCCCTCCATCCCTCCATCCTCCCAACGTGAAGCAGCCGACCCACCTCCAGGTCAATGACCTCTTCTGAGCGGATCACATCGTCCTGGCGCGCTCCACGGCCGACGGTGTAACCGGCCGGTGACGGTTACGGAATGGGCGCCGGTGACGCAGCAGGTTGGAGCCCGTTGGAGAGCCCTGCCTCGGCTAACAAACTGGTAAGTTCAACCAATTAGGGGTGGCATACGGGTTCAACCAGCATCAACCAGCATGGTGGTATTCTTGCACGATTCAAGACGCAGTAAACGTACGGGTCAAAGCATACTGAGGTCGCATACTTGTTTGACATGTCTTACATTCTAGTAGCGGTCACTTTTGGATTCTTTATCTCTCTCTCTCTCTCTCCCTCTCTTTATTATTCTCTCGAGCGACTCGGGGGTGCAAACTTTTCAGTTACAACACCTTATCAGCATAGACCTAGCTAGGTGCGAAAAGAATCTTCACCTTCAGCAGTGGTTGACAAATATGAGCTGGTTCGCAGTAGTCAGGGGCCTCCTCTTTGGAAGAGTGAGGATTCAAAATGCGTGGCCCAATTCAGAAGAATTGCCGGTCTGAAATGGCTAAAAGCAAACAGTTTGAGGGATCGATCCAGGAGATTGGCTGGAACTTGGTGGGGCATGAAGAAACATATGGAAGAATCCTCAATGCCTATCTCTACAATCCTTCTACTAGAATCTCCAAATCCGAATCTAGGTCGTCAACAAATCTAAACCACGATGTCATCTATGCGAAGTCACGGTCAAGTTGGCCAGGTAGAGTGGAGGGTAAAAAATGGTTGGGCCAGCCTCCCTGCGTGGTGGAATCCAGTTTGTATAACTGTTCCGACGCAAAAACATCCGCAGTCCAGCGACATGTCCAGCCTCAGTAGCAAGCAAGCAAGGGAGCAAATGACCTGATAACCCAGCAATGTCCATTGAATGCATCTAGCGTTCCATCGCCACTTGGACGCCACATCACTTCGCATCGCGTCTCGAAACCGCACTTGGGCACTGGCTTGTTGCCCTTCTGCCTGTCCGTCCCATCCGCGTTGGCGGAACCCCCCGGTGCCACACGGACCCCGGCGGATCTTTTCCAGGCCGCCACGGTTCCCCCAATCTGCGGGTGTGGACCGGGTGTGGACCGCCAAAAGCAAAAGACTTGATGCAAAGGCTACCCAGTGTGACTTGCAGTTCCTGGCTGTCTCACGAACTTGCACAACTTGATGAGCCATGGGCTGGTGCCCCTATAGTAATAGAATACATGCATTAGACGTTTTAAGAATCCAAGAACCGTGGGCGGTTCTTGGTAGGACAATCTGGGAAGAGGGATGAAAGTGGGATTCTGGAGGTGGAAAATGCTGAGTGGTATCCAACACCCGGGGCCCTATAGATCCTATAGAACTAGCTGGATCATCACCCCCTAACTCATGAGTCGCTCATGAACACCCCGAAGCCACAAGCCAATACGACTTCTCTGCAAGAGCATTCCTTTGAATCGACCTTGTCCGAGTCAAGTGATCTGACTCTTGAAAGCCATCCCATCCATTTGCTAGGGATCCACATACCCTCCGAGAAAGTGATGTGTTCGACACTGTTCTGAGGTGCCTTTTTTTCAGGGTCCAGTGTTCTTTCCGAACCTGAGAAGGTACGACCTGAGAGGGTCCGAACCTAAAAAATTGGGGGATCTTCACTTCTTCGCCCTGGGCCGACTCAGCGCCCGAGCGTTCAAGGTCACGGTCGTTCTCGGCTCCCCGGCTTCGCCCGCGAAAGAGCGCCGTTGACGTTGGGCCTCAATGGATGACCATCACGCGAATTGGGGCGCGTGGCGATGGGCTGGTACCACCGTCCAAGGCCCCAAAGGCCGCGGGATGCACATTCTTTAATCCACTTTGCATGGGGACGCTGGGAATTGTGGTGCACGACATCCTCCTCTGGTGACGTTTGTCCGAATGAGTGGCTTTGCATGGGTTCTTCATGGTTTTTGAATGCTTTTGCTTGGCTCAGCTTGCCAGCAAAACAAACAGGTCACGGACACATGGAAGCCCCTCTTGCTACGCCTTTACGATTCATGCTTAGTGTGAAGGGGCTGTGTTGGGGGCGTGATGTCCAAAGGTTGTAGGACCCCGAGTTCGACTCTCCCATAGGATCCCATAGTCCTTTTTCAGGGACTGCAGGTCACCAGGTCACTTATCACATAAGATATAGTGGGTTGAGAGTAGATGGCACAATCCCCAAGTTGTGGTTCATATGGATCCCCCATCTATCTAAGACATCTTGGGGTGCCAGTGCCATCGAACCTCTCAATCCACTGTAACCTCTCTTGCTTGGCGTCCGACTGGTTCGGCGCCCCGGTGGCGCCCAGGGCCCTCGGGGCCCCACGACGTGGGCATGGGCTTCGGCAAGGGTGTCCGGAGCACGCTGCCAATCCTGAGGGGTCTTTCCACATAGGGCACGGTACAGACTGGTTGATGGCTTCAACTCACTTGACAACTATTGTATATAGTCAGTCCATTCAATCATCCCAAGGTTGAAAACACATATCCATAATCTGAAAGCACCACCTAAAAGAGCATGGTTGAGCCAAGGTGATCAACTGTTCACTGCGGGGACGGGGAGTAGGAATAGTAGGAATGGAGGAGGGTCCAGCAATGTCATTCGAAAACGAATTTCTGTCGCAGCCTCATGGGCCCAACAAAGCGACTCTTGTGTCTCCAAGAGTCCTCTCTTCAGGGTCACACGGTGGGTGTTCGGAGCCTAGCCGTGCTTCATGATAGATTAGGTTGCTTCAGTCCAGTGATGAGGGAATATTGAGATCACCCGCCCCCCACTGATCTGCAACAACAGGAATGTCTCATCACCATATAAGAGTGTAAATATATGTTGATAGGGGTGACCCTCCGACCATTGGGTTTCAGTCTATCATTGGCGTTTTGACAGGGTCTGGGGTCCCCTATTCTTTAACGTATATCCATATTCATTAAAAAAAATCCGGGGAAGTCTCCTTTCGCCATCAAATCATCTGATTTGAAGCTCCAGGAGCCCACGAGTCTTCCAGAGTTGCAGTAGAACCCTTTTTTACAGTTCGAGAACTGGAGCCACTCCTCCATCCCATCCCGGCACACCGTCTCAGGCAATCGTCGTTGGATTACAATAATTGAAACATCGTGGCTCTGCAACTAACGAAGGGCTGAGCCATGGTCGTGGGTACTCAAAGCTGTTTGAGCAACTGTGTAAACTGTAAACTGTTTGCGGAAAATGAGTCAAATAAGAAGGATTATCATGACATTATTAAGTTTTCTAGGTCAATCTATGCTACATTCACCTAACTCATCGCCATAACCAGTAGAGGTTCTGCAAGCCAACTTGGCCAGCTTACCCTAGGGACTGGTCTAGGGGTATTATTTGCGTCTTTACCTCCAAAGACCAACACCCCCAAAGCTGCAACTAACTTATTGTATCCCTTAAAGCCTTGGGACACGTCTTGGCACAGGTCGTGAAAAAGAAACGACCTAAGAACCTGCTTTGACAAGACCAATCGCGAGAGCTCTTGAGCCACCTGAGAGCTCATGAGCCACCTGATCCATGCCCACCGGGACCCCAACCAGGAACCCTTCGGACATGCTGTTTGGCGCCAAGCGACATCTTGGGGACTCGCTGTTCTGGTGGCCGCATGCCAAACCTCGGGCGCTGCATCGAGCGTGGCATCCGATCCGAACAAGGCAGGTCAAGGGCTCCAATGGTCGAGGGCTCCTCGGAGTGCGCCGGCACCAGGAACTGTGCTTGCTAAGAACCAAGAGTACCACTGCCGCTGAAGAGTACCACGGAATAACTTCTACAACGACAAAGAGCTCAACAAGAATCCCAATTTGGGGTTGGTTAGTTGTCCAATTGGTATTTTTCACAGTTCGTTGAATTCGTTGAGCTGCTTCCTTTACTCCACACCCGCCTATGCGCTGCCGCTCGAATTCTGCTTCCTCCAACGGCATTGCGATGGGGAATGAATCAAGGTCAGTCAGTCTCAAGGAAGGACACCCCAATGAATCTTTGTTATAGTCATAGTCACAGTCGTCTACTTATTCTCCGAATCGTTAATTTATGCATGATTGTTTCCTTATTCCCTGCTAGGCACCAGTCCAAACAACTGATGATGTGTTGTGCAACTTTCGATGACTTTCGTGGCTCTTAAGCCTTAGATTGGCTTCAAGCATTCCCTACTTAAGGCCAAAGAAGAACCCCTGGCCGTGCGAACACCCTCCAACCCCGCTTTGCCCTCCCCCACGTGACCTCCAGATCCTCCAGCCATATTTGGATGACTGCGGCCCTGCTCTAACATGGAATGGAATTTGTATGAATTGGTGCTCGACTTGAGATCAACCAGAGTCTGATAGCTCCAGTGTCGCACTGGACGAAACCGGTGGAATCCCATCTATTGGAGGCCATCGCTATTAGGTCGGAGGCCCTCGCTATTAGGTTGGAGGCCATCGCTATTAGAAACCAACCAAAAAACTATATATATATATAATTATATAATAGATATATATATATATACAGTATAAAACTACAAAAGAAGAACAAACCTCCTCCCCGGGTGGCATCTTTTTGCTCTGGGAGGCCCTCACGCACGGCCCAGCACCCCTTCGTAGGGCATGTCGCGCAAGCCGCGGGAACGGTGAGGCCGACCCCCTGGCGGTCAGGTGTGGTCGAAGGTCGGCGAAGGAAGACTCTGCAAATACACGTCATGTAGACCCTTGATCAATAAAAGCTCCCATATTAAACAGCTTTTACCATCAATTGAATGTGTGTTGTCTTTTTAATCATGTCTATACAGTAAAATTCAGATTCTCTTCTGCTGGTGTGGGTTATGTGAACCGGCGTGAAGGATGTCGTTAAGGGATTCGGATTCCTGCGGAACAGAGTATCAGGAAAAAGTAGATGCTTATTGGGTGATCTGTCCTTCACTCCCTTGCCAAACACAGTTTCCTCCTATGAACAGTTTTGTGCAATCTACCAGGTTGACAAAGGACGAGTCACAAAGTCCCTTCTGTCAAGCTCAAATGTCAGCCCAGGAGAAGACCCTTCGTCCGCGGAATGCTCGAGCAGTTCTGAGTCCCGTATGAGTGTGCTTGCAGTACATCAGCACCTAAACAAACCCGGTAGGGGAGTCTCCTTTTTTCACACTGTTTTCAAGGAAGCAACGAAAGTGGAGGATCCCATACGGCTTGGCACAACTTCTTTGGAGCTGCTCCACCCCCCTTCAGTCTATCCACAGTGTCCGAAGAAACCCGGCGGAGATAATACAACTTTCTTCCAGCACCACCCCTCTCTGTGTGGTTTATGCACCCCCTGACCATGCATGTTCCACCAATATTTTTTGAAACCACCCAAAATGGCTGGTGCTGGTTGGGAGAAACAAAGCCTGTCCCAACTCTTCCGTTCCAACTCCGTCGACATCGTCTTTTCGCCTCTGTCGACGTCTCTGTCTGTGGGCATGACCTGGCGATGAGTCGAGGTCAAAGGGAGCCGCGGGCGTATTCAAACATCATTCTCAATGAGCAAAATCAGGCAGCGGCATATATATATATATATATGTATATAAAGTGATACCCAGTGTATATATATATATATGTGTGTGTTGGACGTGATTTTAGTATATTAGGTGTTAATTACGTGTTTTCTAAGAGTTGTGTGGCTCAATATATTTGAAACATGTGTGGCTCAATATATCATATTTATCTAAACTACGGCCCCTTTAAAGATCTAACTATAAACCTAAACCCATCTTGTGGACTTGTGGACCTCTGCGGTTCCGAGTCTCTTGAACGGGTGGAGCCCACCGTTCCAAGTGAACCCAACCAGATCGAAATTCGACCACCAAAAGAATCCTTGGGCTCTCCATGGCAGAGGTCGGAGCCTCCATAGCTGGGATCCAGACCCTCAAAAGCGTTCAAATCCCTTTCAACATCTGAGTGCCCGGATTCTGACACCAATAACCATTTGAACTTGGAAACCGTAAGAGATGATGGAGGCCCTTTTGAAGCCCTTGAGGCTGTCTCATCGTCACATGTGGTCACCGATGCATCGCCAGAACGTCAAATCCACTGTTGCCGAGTAAAACCACCCTGTTGAACGCAAAATCAATCTCTGGTCCTCTCTGTTCCAAGCCTGCCAGCTTTCACCTAGAATAGGGACCCACTACATCACTGGGAACAGCAGTTGCATGCAGTCCAGGCACCTAGACCTAGACTGACAACCCTGGTTGCTCAAGCCAGAACACCCTATGAATGCTCCTGGTGCGTAATTATTAGTTGAACTTGGATAACTTGGGCTAGTTGCCAAGAAGGGACGATGAAGTTGACCTTGGAATCCCTTTTGGAGCTGCTTCTGATGCTTCTCTGAACCCAGCCTATGGTGGATGATCCCTGCAAAGGGGCTCTCTCAAAGATTCAAGTCCCCAATCCCATCTTTGTTGCTTTTGAACTTTGGCCTAACTTTGGCAAGGTTTTGGGGATCCGCCACTTGACACTCCTCAAAGTGCCAAAAGAGGCTGGAGGCTTGGTGCCGCACTCGGATGACGATTCCACCATCCGCGTCACCTGAAAAAGCGCCGAAGAAAGCGGAAGAACACCCGGGTCGTGTCGACCACCAACTCTCCACATAAGCTCAAGATAACCATCACCCCTGTTAAATTTATATAAATTAAACTAGCAACCAGTTGCCACCCTCCACCCCTTTCAAGCCACTGGCAGCATGAAGAGAAATTCTGAATGTGCCAGCACCTCCCACGCTTCTCATTCGGCCCCGCTCGTCTGAAGACCAACGGACCCCGGAGCACCATCCATAGCAAAGCGCAAGGAGCCGCCACCCGCCGTCTCCCTGAACCTCAGGGGTCTCGACCCGGCGCTTCGCTGGACCCTCTCCTTCCAAGAAACCAGGGAAATCGAAACAGGCCGAGGGTTGAGAGGGCTTATATAGATCTCAAAAGCACGACGACGAAGATTGGTTGAGCCCACTGGCTGGATGGCTTCCTAGGTCCCCATCCGGGCGCCCCGCCAAAGGATCAAAAGGGTGTCCTGAGCGACCCTAGGCCATAGTGGGTTCGAGGAGAACATAAAAATGCAAAAAAATGCAAAGGATATTGAAATGGTGCCCCCCCAAAGAGCTGTAAAAAGCCTAAAGTTCTTCATAGTTCTTCTATGTGTACTGAAGATGCTCGTTCACCCGTCAAGCGCACCAAATGAGATGGGATCCTAGAGGGCTCTGGAGGGTGAGTGGTTAAACATGCAGACCTCCCGGTGACCCAGTGACCCTCGATGTGAACCGCCTCCAAAGTAAAAATCCGTCCAGCTGTCACCAATGCCGCCTTGCACGTGAATTCCATTTTAGATCATTTTAGTCTAGTCTATACCCAACAAGCATGTAGTCAATCTTGTGGGCCAAATGTCAGAATCACCTCATTTCAACGGAGCAGCACTGCTTGTGACCCAGCGGGAGGAGCCCCAGCAGCAAACAGGCAACGAACTAGCTTTTGGTGGGCATTTTCTGTATCAGAAGTTGCCTAATATGGAACGCACAAACATGATGAAACCCAAGCCGCTGAATAGTCAGGATCAAGCCACCACTACCGCTACCCCAATCACCGCAGCGACGTTCGTCAGGGCTCCCAGACATATGCTGCCGTACCTGAGAATCCAGATAGTTTCTCTCGAAGGCCCACCGCCCAACAGTCCAATGTCACCTGGCCTGTCCGTAGGTTCCCTGCCAAGGAAGCTTCAACCACTGCGTGCTGAGAAGTCGATCCCCAAGCATCCCGAGCCAAAGAGAAGTCGTAAATCATGCCGGTCAGTCGTGAACATACCGGACATCCTGAACTTCTGGGCCGGACTGGCTGAGCCTCCCCCACAAAAACCCTCATCAGTCGAACTCCGATCCTGGTTCCGGTGCCCACACAGAATTGTTCCCCCGCTGTTTTGATGGCATGTGCTACACGGGTGTCTATCAAAGCCCCATTGTTCGGTGTGTATCAAGCCCAGACACTCCATGTATGGCATATTTACATATATATTGACCCCTAAAACCATCCCAATGTAGGTAAATATGCCATACATGGAGTGTTTGGGAAATACACCAGCTGTCCAAGAGGTTAAAAAAACGGTGAACGTTGTAGTCTGAAAACGTCCAAACGTGAGTAGAAAGCACAAGGGCCCCCAGCCAAGGGCGGTGTTAGTCCCATCTTTCAAGACCTCTTGGGGTGTCAGTGCCATCTAGATACTCTGAAAGCACTGCACTGATCTGCACTGTATAAAATCCATGTTTCTTCACGATTCAAAAGCCTTACAGTAATGGCTTTTTCAGAAAACCACAAGCTTCGTCACGACCTTCGCCCATTAACTCGTGCACCCATGAGACACGGAGGGTGTGACTCCAATGTTTTGCGGTTCAAAAGAGGTGATTCTTCGTGAGTTGTGCTTGTGTTGAACTTTTGGGTTGTGTATGGCAAGCCCATCCCCTCACAAATTAAACTTCATGTAGACTCAGTACATGCACCACCCACTCATGAAACCTTTGTTACTGTTGTGTTTGCCCTTGAAGAATTCGAAGCATTTCCAGCTCTTCTACCCTTAGATCAAGATCCCTCAAGTTCACCTACTCTGCAGCCAAGTTCACTGCATGCATGATGTCTTTCTCCTCCAAGCCTTGCCTCATCCAGAAGAAGGCGCTCTCCACTCCAGGCACACGAATCATGGATTTGGATGCTCCTTTCCCCAAGCGCTTCTAGGATATCTAGCTTGAAACCACAGAACAAAACATCAAAAGGCTCATACACATCAGCCCAACAAGGACAAAACATCAGCCACGAAATCTCAGTGCACCACGCAAACCCCCAACATCGCATGATGTCCTGGGCGGTGCAGGCTCAGGTGCGGGTGGCATTCAGCCACGCCCAAGTTCATGAAATAGAAGAAATGCGACCTTTCTACCTTACCAAAGGCAGAAGCGTGAAGCGTCGGCATATACACCATGATGAGTTTGTGAAGGAGAGATTGTGGGTCATAAAAGGGCCTTCTGTCAAACATATAATTTATCTATTTGGCACACGGTTGCGCGGGACGCCACAAAAGGACAGTGTTCTAACACAGTGTTGCGTGTAATTAGTTGTCCGTTTTCCAACCTGCATGATCTTCGGGGTCCTTTTCCTAATGCTTCTTCACTCTTCGCTTCACATTCGATCGCCGTTCGCCATCTTCGTCCAAGGCACATCCAACTTCATACAGCCCAAGGTGTCTACAGGGAGACCCCGTGGCCGTTTCTGGGGATAGCGGCCTGCCGGTCCGCGGTCCACTTCGGCCACCGTTTGGACCCCGCTCTTTCGGGTTCCGGTCACCGCTGGTATTCGGACCCTTCAACGGTGGTATTCGGAAACTGGAGGGTTTTGAACGTTCGGAAACTGGACGGTGGTATTCGGAAACTGGAAACTGGACGGCTATATTCGGAAACTACGAAGAGGAACACCAACACTATTCACAGAGAGCATCAACTTTTCACGCAACTACCCACCTATGTTTATTGCCCCCCCACCCCCCACCCCACCCACAAATTTTACAGAATACGAGGAACATAGTTTCTGAATACCACAAATAGTTTCTGAATAATTACAACGAAAATCAACGGAATAGTTTCTGAAGACTAGTTGTTGAATACAGCGCAGTTTCTGAATACGACTTTGCTCTTCGGGTGTTCTAGTGAGGCCTATGCGAAAACCATTTCAATCCAACTTGGAAGTACCACCCACAATCAAAAACAAGGACCCTCTATATACTGTATATTATATCTATATTTGTTTTCAGTTGCTAATACTATAAATCTAATCTATATCCAAAAGCACCCTCCGTAAACCTTACAAATTAAACAACCATAGGGAAACCGTGCTTCTTCGCCAGTGTTGCTGGCTGCTTCCCTAAGGACTGCCCAGAGTACCAATCTCCTTCGTTGCAAAACCAGAACTCCAGAAAAATCATCCAAACTCAACCGTTATGAATATAGCTGGGCAGCTGGGCAGCTCCTTGTAGCAATCTCCCTACCTGGGCTACCCCACATCACGAAAACAGCGACCGGGCCCCCACATCACGTCGAGGCATCCAGGTGATCCGGCCAAAACCGGCGATCGTTTTGGAGATCTGAAGGGAATCCGCCGAGCTGGGGGATCCTCAGAGGATCAGATCCGAGTCAGGGTGTCATGGCGGGAAAAAAAGAATCACGGGTGTCTGACAAAAGCCTCGACCATGGGACCTGACTCAGTAAAAACAGGCACGTGTCCTTGCAATTGTCCTCAAAGGTCTTTTGAGACTCAAGGTGGGAATGGGTGAGTTTTGGTCGGTCCGGGGCTCATGTCCCCACGTCTCAGAGACAGCCACATACACCAGTGACCCCAAACTGCATCCACACCGTGATGTGGTTAGATATCGCCGATGGGGTGCACAAGAAATCCGCTTGATCTGATGAATGCTGCAGATCAAGCCGAAGTTCAGCCAGGAGATCACATGTTGACCTGGTAACGACTAAGTAGCTTATATAATGTAGACTCTTGATTAATAAACCCCCCAATATGAAGAGGATCTTCCAAGTCAATTGGGGGGGGTTATTAATCAAGAGTCTAGATTATATGAAGCTATGTTTGGGATGCACAGTCATGAAGTGTGTGCAGTGCTTTTCAGGCCGGCGTCTTGCTATCTTCACCACCGGGATGTAGATGACCTGTATCGGCCATGCGTTATGCTTCCAAAGGCTTCCAACAACCACTGGCAACATTGCCATCAAGTCACCAAGTGTCTGATATTCTTCGGTAATTATATAGACTCTTCAAGCTACACCCCCTGTTTGTAGAGTACAATACGAGGCCAGAACGTCCACTTCCATGCAGGGAAGTAGCGATTCTAAAAGGACTTCCGCTCTTCCACCGAACAAAACGCCTCACCGGGCCCCCCGAGCGTGAACGATCCTTGCGCGACATCTCCTGCGTGTCTTCGTGGATCGGGCCGGTCGACGGATCACGATAGGTTTATATAGATCTCCAGCCCATGGTGTTGCTTCATCTTCCTGGGGTCCGACAAGGGGTGCTAGTCCTTCTCTCTTTCTCTTTCTTTCTTTCTTTCTTTCTTTCTCTCTCTCCCTCCCTCCCTCCCTCCCTCCCTCCCTCCCTCGCTCGCGCGCTCTCTTTCTCTCGCTCTCTCTCTCTGCCTCGGAAGTCTAGCTGTCACAGGAGCTTGGTTTTCAGCATTGTTCAGGAAAGTGACTCAGTACCAATCAGTGCCAGCTAGGCTTCGTTTGGCAAACCCGACAATATACCGGACATGTGCTATAACATATATATATATATATCAGCAACATTCAATATCTGATGTTCTTCCCTCGTTCACGACTTCATCCTCCTCCAGTGGCTGACACAAACGAGCCAGTCGTCGGCCATCCGCACGGAGGCTTTCCGTGGGTTCCCGTCGGGGTCACCTTCGATCGCTTCGGTGTGCGGAACCTCTCCGCCTGGGACGTGGCGTGGAACTCGTCGCCGCCTGGGGACGCGGCGTGCCGAGATTCGAGTGGCCCCAACCCAATCCCTGCAGCTGCCATTGAAGCCTAAGAAACTGGAAAGAACAATGGAGAGAAATCATGACCTGACATCTTTGCACAGTTCGATGTTTCCTTCCGAACATCTCCGAACCCCTGCGGGTTGCATGGTCCGGGTGTTTAGGTTGTCTGCACCAGCATGGCTGTACGGGTCAAGATGTATATAAACTGATATATGATACTTATATAATGCGTTTGTTCATGTCTGTCCGTCTGTCCGTCCGTCCGTCTGTCTGTCTGTGTTTTGATGACAGGTGCCCCACACCCATTGGTATAAGCTCCAAAACCGATCGACAGGACGATCCAGGAGGATGCTGGTGCTGCTTGGGCCCTATAGTTTTCCAAGTTTTGAATTGGTGGATTCAAAGGGATTCAGGAAAAAAGGAACAGCTCCACACCACTCAGTGGAAATAGAAAAAATCCTTAGCATGCTAGGGGGATGTCTGACTGGTAAGGCTCAGACCTGCACGGAACCCATATGTGCTATCTGTATAGACTTGAAGCGCTCGCACACGCGGAACCCGAATCAGACCGACGCAACCTGAAGAACCCAAAGACGAAAAGAACCTTCCTCTCTGCTGGGTAGAATTCTCCTTCAACGAGCAGGTTGGGTTTGGGGTCGTTCTCGAGTTGGTCTCCTGCCTAAGGAGCACGTGACATCACTGACCCGCCGTCAGGGCTGCCTGAGCCCTTGAGAACATCAACGGCGAAGGTGTTCACACATCGGGATCATTGGCTTCCGCCGTCCATGTCACACAGAAGACTACCATGTAGTCTTCGGAGGGTAGCTACTAGTTCTGGCCACCAGTTTGAAAGGCATACCATGACAAAATATGACTATTAAGATCTATTAAGTATAACTTCCCCCAAGGCAAACCTAATCTCTGCAGCTTTTGCAGCCAGGTTGCTCAATGACTAGTAGCTCATATGGTTAGTTGTGGTTCGAGCTATGATGATGGATTTAGCAGGTACCAGGTATAGCTCTGCATCTGATATATCGCTATTGATGAAATACACCTAAAACATCCCTCACACCCCGTTACAACACAACTAACTCTGAGGTTCTCCCAACTTTTCAAAGGAGGCCGCTTTTCAGAATGAGCCTCTCCTAGGTCTGTACTGATGGACTCTCACTCCCAGTCCCGCATCGGGACGATGGACTCGTGCCACGCGACGACCAGGACGATCCGGACGGTGATGCTGGAGGTAAATATCTAGAGATCAATAGGTGTGTTCGTTCTTAAGAAGGGCCCTGGCTGCCAGGAGATGATCTCGAGACATGCTAATTTTCTTTACACTTACCTGTTCCAAACTTCCAATCCATCACAAGTGACCTCTTTCTAATCGACAAGAACTGTGAAAACAGCTCATAGCGGGCCCTCGACTCGTTTCCCTTCTGGGGGCAACTTTCATGCCTGTAAGTCAAGTGAGCAATCGAAGTCCATTGCACCCAGTCCTTCCCCCTGATTCACTCATTAGATTCACTCTTTAACGACCCTTCTCCAGCTGTGCCAGCTGTGACCGAAGACGTCTTTTCAGGCAAATCTTCATCTTGGATTGTCATTTCGCTGCTGCCACACCTGTTTGGACAAGTGCTTGCCAGCATTCATCTGGGGCATTGGCGTCCTGTCCCAAAAGGACACCCGTGTCACTGGTGGATGCTTCATCCGAAGAGCTTCTACCTTTGTGGCTTGAATGAGTCTTCCGGAAGTCCCCACCTTCAGTGGCCGACTTTGGTGGCTTCTTCTGTATCTCACCTTCCATGGCCTGAGATGAGGCCCTGAGATTCCACCTTCTTCCTGCAGGATGCCATTGCGACGCACCGCTTCCCGACGACGCGACCCTGGGGGGGGCCGCCTTCAAGCGCCCCCAAGGTCAGCCAAATCGGCCAACGGGGAATGGTCCGAAGACACTCGGAGGTCGACTGAGTTGACTGAAGAACTGCAGGGAACTCTGCGAGAAGTTGAGGGTTCGTTGCCTGATGTCTAATGATCCCTGAATCATCGTCTAATGTGGGTTGACACATTGTTGTTTCAACACTTTTGAGCACTAATCCTACAACTTACAACTACTGTCTTGCTGTTGACCATCCCTGTTGCTTCTTGCCTTGCCTGCTGAACTCCTGCGGTAGCCATGTGTACCGTAGGCAGGCGTAGGCAGGCACAATGGCTGCACCAGGTCAGTGATGGCACTTGTGCCGCACTTCTGCCTTCTCCCAGCAGATGAATCCTTCACTCCAATCTTGACCATCTACATCAGGGGGTGAACATCTAGACTCTCACACTCTCGACCGATTCTGGACGACGACTTCCCCGTCCCGGCGGTGTCCATGCGTGTACCAACGGGTCACACCGTGTACCAACCGGTGTCGTCCCTCCGGGGTCGTAGAGCGGACCAAGGCTGGGACCCGGAGCGGCGGACTGATCAACTTGGGAACGAATTCGACACATCAACAGGTTCCCCCAAAAATTAGATGAGATTTAAGAGTAGATGATGGGCACAATCCCCAGTCGGTCGGTGGTTCAAAAAAGGACCCCTTTATAAAAAACATCTTGGGGTACCAGTGCCATCTACTCTGAAACCACTGTAGATGAGAACACGCCGTCACTTTCACAGTGGACCTAGGAAGCCTGCCAGAAGATACCCTGCGGGGAAGAAGTTCATGAACTGATTGGTGTAAATGGAGAATGCTGAGCTACACACATGTGGAAGCTGTGGTGCCCATTTGACCCTGATGCTTCTTGCTACGGGTGCAGCCACCGGTTCAGCAATCAAATGCAAGGCCCTGATCAGGGGCGACCTGATGGGCTCGAAACCTGGCCCTTCCATTTTCCTGCACAAACCTTAGGTGTACCCACTAGGCCTATAGTATATGGTATTGGTTATATTGTAACCATAATAATCATAATAAGGGATATATATGGTGAAGATGAATGTGACCTGCATAATCCTACATAATCCGAACTATTGTATTAATAAATCGTAATATTATTAATATACCAGGACACCCGGGCCAGGGGTGTCTGTTGATAGCCCCTTAGAGGTTAAGGCCGTCGTGGGACCCTCGGGCCCACCAAACAACCGCGACGTGAGTCGCGACGTGTACGGCTTCGTAGCCCACATGGGGATGAACATCACACCCGGCGGGTTGGGGACCACAAGGTTGAACACATGTAGCGCGACAATGGCATGAAACACTCTATCCACATCATATCCCATCATATCATATCATATCCCTATACCATGGCAATACCTGAAGGCCCAAGACATGATCTGTTTCCCATCCGTCTGCAAAAACCGCTCCTTCCTCCTATTGGGAGCTTAGGGATTTGGAACACCACAGGAACATCTGCTTCGGAGTTGCTCAGAGACTTGAAACAACAAAACCAATTCTATACAGTACATCGATTTTCCAAGTGCAGATTGGTGTGGATGTCTGGATGTCCCCAAAGGAAAACACACAGACCAAAAAACATCACGCTAACTTCGGGTCCTTCCTTTTGGATCAATCTCCGCATCTGATCACTGATCCTCTTCGAGAGAGCATCCCAGCAGTGAAGTGGGGACAGCAAACGCAAGCGTGGGAAGTTTGAGATGCGCAGTTCGTGGGAAATTCTAGTACCAAACAACAAGATCCAGCTTTCCCCAATTAAGCAAAAATGGGTCACCGAGACACAAAGATCCATGGAACGTGTGACAGTGTTGCTGACGATTCATGGGCACCCCCTCAAAACATCAAAGAAACTGACTTCTCAAACTGTATTTCACTCAGCAACCTTCATTGAGTTCTGGTGGTGTCTCCCAAGTAACCTCTTCAAACATGTGTTGTACATATATATATATTATATGTTACTATATTGCACATTTCGAGTATATACGTTAGATAAACAACATAAAGCTGATTGTTTCTGCAACGTTCGTCCAACTTTCTGCCAAACTCCTCCGGAAATGCAAACCCCTCCCACCAGGCTGACAAACACGTCACCCCGAGCCACAAGGGCGGGAACGGGATTGACAAAGCCCCCCCGATTGAAGAGGACACCAGCAGAAACCTAGGTCCAAGTACGACCTAGCGAAGGTAATCAAACAAGTGACAAAAGCATCATCGATAAGACATGATGAAACCTCTAAGACTCTAATTGTAGTCATTCATGTTGAGTATATAGTTTAAATACCCACCGCCAAAAACATAAAACCGTTCCCGCGACCACTGGTTTGGTATGATTCTGTGGTTTCACGCGGTGGTGGGAACCTCAAAAACAGCAACTCTCTCGACACGTGTCTAGCAACTAGGACTTCACGGTTCCAAGCCCCTGTCAACGGCCTTTTTCCATCAAAGAATGTACATCACACATTATGGATGCTGTAAATATATTGTTGTATGATGTTGTATGCATTTGCATCTACCCTAAACATCAATAATATGTTGGCCACTGCTATGACCACGGTTCCACCCGAAAGTCTCAAATATTACCCACTACCGCCACTACTACTTCCTTTGTGCATCATCTGGTGCGTGCACCGGTTGTAGGCCACCACTCCTTGGCGTGTGCCAAGGTCCGGACATCAGTGCCAAGGTCCGGAGCACTTGACTTGAGCAGTGAGCAGCGCACATCTCGCAAACTTCCGGCTCGAATTGACGCGCCGCAGCTCGAACACCGTGCGTAGCCTGCGCGCACTGGGATTTTCCCAGCGGCTCAGAGTTTCCAACAATGTCGGACCTTTCGTATGGCGAGCATGGCGGGCGTGAGATGGGGCAAACGTGCAGTCCACCCACCACTTTTCCAACCTGAGAAGAAGTGGCATGTCGGAGCTCAAGGCCTGCCACGCTTTAGCACGGGTAGCGCAGGTATTGAGTAAATCATTACTGTACAGTCCTCGAACCCGGTCTAGGGTGATGAACGTGAGCGTGAGCGGGTTGAACGTGAGCATGAGTGGAGCGGGCCGAGCTTCTGAGCAGCGCTGGAGGGATGCCGGTCTGCCATCCCAAAAAATGCACATGGGTCAATATTTGTTCCTGAATCCTGCTATTTCCTGTGCGGGACCTGCGGGTCTATTCTTGGAAGTGTTGGTGTTCTTGAGTGCACACCAAGGACCCCGACAAACAATGGCCATAATGCAGTGTGTTAGCCCTGCTTGTATGTATATCTATTAAGAGATCAATTTCGTAGGTCAAGGTTTCGTTCGGTTAGGGAATTGAACCGTTCATTCCAACAAAGCACCACATCGAACTCCAAACCCCGCGGTGCTTCCGTACCTCGAGCTCGGCAGCCGCGGACGAAAATCACCAAAACGGCAAAAATCTAGCGACGCAGCACGTGGTACGTAGCCAGTAGCTAGCTTTAGCTACAAGGAGAAAATACAAAATTTACATTGACTGAAAACCCTATGTTACGATTATGGAAACAACCCCGCGATGCTTTGGAGCTCCGTCGCGCGCCGAGAACATGTTTCAACATTGGTTTTGCCGCGCGCGCAACAGAAATAACAGCCCTTTGCCTTATGGCATCGTTGGCGCCGGAAGCTCTACAATATGCGTTGGACAGGCGGACCCCTGCACCAACCACGGCTGATTTTGGTCTCGCACAACATATGTTGACCGCCTTAGACGGTCAGGCTAGCGGCTAGGCTTTGAAAGCAACGGCCGCGTTTGCAGGATTTGGTGCGAAGCCTTCTGGAAGGATGCGGGATGTATTTGGGCTGCAGCGTGAGAGACGACCTTGGGCCAATTCTTTCTGGCCTTCTATGCGCTTTACGTTTTACGCGAGCTATCCAACCCTGTCTGACTGAAGAGCCGGGTCT